AGTTTTTTTTCTTACACTTTTCCCCTCTGATTTCCCACTGGTGGTTCATCTGTTTCTTTTAGGACAAATGTTTTATTTATATATATATATATATTATATATATAAAATCATTGTAAGCACCCGTCAGTGTTAAATGGTGTCTCATTCCTGTAACTGCTGCATCTGCAGGAAAGTTTTTCTGTTGAAAAATAAAACTCACTGGCTGGATCACCAGATGAAAATAGAAGAAAGAAACCCTAAAAAAGAAAACTAATGCAGCCATCACAGCTAAGAAATGGTAAGCTTCAATATAATAAATGTTTTATTTTGGGTTTAATACGACTTTAATGTTGAAGGTTCATGTGTTTCTGTTTGGCCTTCACTGGTTCCTCCCTCCCCCCTCATCAACATACTAATGACATAAAACAATTATGTTATTATTACATACATTATTTTATCCAGTTCCTGACCGCGCTATAACCAACAGACGGCTACAGAGCAGTCAGCTAGTTCTGGGAGGGCATCCATGCACGGTCTCCCAGAACCACATCCACTGCGCAACCCTAAAGCGCACACCATGCACAAGCTGTGATCGCTGTGTCCTTCAAAGGGGCCAATCAGAGACGCCTTTTACCAAGTGATCAGCTGTGTCCAATCACCCCTGATCGCAGTGTAAACAGGAAATGACGATTATCAGCAGTCCTCTCCTCACACTGACCGCGCTTGAGGAGAGGAGAGCCGATATGGGTCATTTCTCAGAGGGGACATCGACAATGAAGATCAGTGTAGTCCCATCAGTGTTTTGTATCAGTGCCTACCAGTACCACATATTGGAGCCTCCTCGGCGCACATTAGTGAAGGACAAAAACCACTTACTTACAAAATTTTTATAAAACAAACTAAGAAAAACTTTTTTCCTCAAAATTTTGCCTTTTTTCGTCGTTTAGCAAAAGAAAAAAAAAAAAAAAAAAAAACCCAGTAGTGATTAAATACCATCAAAAGAAAGCTCAATTTGTCTAAAAAAAATGATAAAGATTTAGTTTGGGTACAGTATTGCATGATCGTGCAATTGTCAAATGCAGCAGCGCTGAAAGCTGAAAATTGGCCTGGGCAGGAAGGGGGGTAAAAGTGCCCAGTTGGCAAGTTGTTAAACCGAGCGACATCATTAGAAGGTCTTTGTGCTTGTCTATACAAGGCAGGCAGATCATGACTGGTAGGAGGACCAGCAGGGTACTGAGAGCAGTGATCTGTCATAAGGCCTACATGAGATGCTGAGCTTCCATGATTGAAATAACTAAAACCCAATGAATGAAAGGCACGGACAAGGGACAGTAAGTCTGGGGAGGAAAGCGCTGTAGATGTCACTGGCCATCCTCCAGCCAGGAAACGAGATGGACTATATCTGACTTACTGCAGCTTTTATTTTACACTGTGAGAAGCTCACAGGTTGCTGTGAAGTCATCATTAGCAACTGTGCAAGAGGAATGGAAAGGCTGGAGTTCAGTTTGAATGCCAGAAGAGACGAGCAAGTCTTTTCTGCCACAAAACCCTACCTGCTATCAATGTTTTAATATTTAACTTTAGTTCTGGTAAACGTCACGATACCCTGAAGCCTCTTTGGCTTTTGCATGCATTTTTAAAGGAGTATTGCTTGAAGACTCCATACGACCAATCTGTACTGTGCCCGGAGAAGATGTGGTGATGGATAAGCTACGGCTTTTATTTCATTGCAACACCTATTTACACATATTTTCATGAAAGCCAAAACAATATAAAACAAATATTATATGATATATACAAATAAATAAAGCATCTGGCGTCTGTCTGTGATGCAGAAGATACCCTAGCTGTGGATACTGAGGCTGCTACAAGCAACACCATAGGAGGTGACCACTGGCTGGGGATTAGTGCTCTAAACCAGGTTGCCCAGGCACCCTGTGTGCCTTGGCAAAAGGTCTAAAAATTGCCCAAAACATATATACAAGACAGCCGGCGGAACAAGCCTGCCGTTTAGTTGGAAAAAGCCACACAGTGTCAGGGCAGGAGCTGTGGAACGGACAGGCAGGCCTAGTGGCAGGGTCACACACTGACTGACGACAACCACCACCCACAGACCGGAGTCCCTCAGAGTCTAAATCCCAGGCTGCCCTTCACCAGGGCCCCTGATGGTGGGGATGGACTTGACGCAGCCAGGAACCAGGTCGCGGCCCCCGAGACACCCCAGCTGCGGTAATGGCCGCCGCCAATGGCGTGTAGCTGGTAGGAGCCAGATCAGACAATAGCATAGTCGGGCAGGCCGGGTCAACAACGGGACAAATGGTACAGAACAGTAGACAAGAATAACAGGTCACAGGCCGGGTTCAGCAACAGGAGGTCAGATCAAAGGAAACCGCAGAGAATGGTCTAGTCAAAAGCCAAGTCAGATTCCAGGAAAGTCACAAGAGTAAAAACAGCGCTGTTGCAACACAAACACACAAGACACAAATGCAAAGAGCATGTGCAGACAACAGGCTTATATGTGATCAACCACACCCCTCTGGCGGATGGACCGCAAAGGCCTGAAGGCATAAAAGACTCCCACCATGCTCTGCAGAAACCCAAGATGAATGCCAGCACATGGAGCAGCATAACCTCTGGGAAAAGGTAGGACCTTGACACACAGGTTTTCATTGTGCGCCATTACAATCTTCCAGCCTCTGGCATCCTGACCAGTGACATCATTAGTTGATAAGGAGGATGTTGGTTGCCTGCACAGCATCCTTGTTTGACTCTCCCCTGCCCCTCTCCATCAGTGCTGGGGTCACATTAACTCAGTGATGGAGAAAAACTGAAGAAGAGAAACACTGGAATACTAGTCAGTACCAGTGTGCTTTGGAAGAATAAATCACCTCTAATGTTGGGTGTCCTACATGTGTGGATGTTGCTGCGTTATATAAAACTAATAGAATTGTTTTTTACATTACAGAATGGGGTGCCTCAAGGCTGTCCATAATTTTAGAGGGTGTCTTGACTGAAATAAAAGGATGAGAAACACTGTTCTATACCGACATTTGCAGACACATTTCATGGTTATTCTAAACTCACTCTTAAGGCTCATTTACACTTGAATTGGTGAAACACATTGCCAAAGCCAGAAAAGTGGCACAGCAGAGATTTTGCAAAAGTGTTTTCCATGCGTTCTAAAAGTGGCACAGCGCACGCCAAATCCATTTACCTGTCTTGATCCTGTATTTGAATTTAGTGCATGTTGCATCACTTTTAGAAGGCAGCAAGATCTGTCTCTGTATGCCATAAAGAAGTTGGTCTTAGCCACTTCCAGCCGACCTGTCACATATATGCGGCCTCTCAGAGGGTGGGTTTTAGCGCTGAGTGGCTGCATTATATGGGGCCCTAGGTAAATACTTTACTGTGAGCTTTCCCATCACGTGACCGCCAATCACAGCTGTCACATGATCAGAAAGCCTGCCTCCACCTCCCACCATTCAGATCCTGTTAAAGCAGAACCCCCCCCCCCCCCAGCCTCTTGGGACAGATCACAGGTCCCAGAAGACTGCGGGACCAATCACAGAGCGCAGCAGAATTGCACATGTGCAGTGGGAAGCTGGCTGTGAAGCTGTAAGTCAGTCGATGCCCACAGTTAGGGCTGGTTCACACCATAGAAACGCAGTCCAGATGCGTTTCTGCACGTGTTTGATGTGTTTCCGGTGGGTTTTTGATCCGTTTGACACGTTTTGGTGTTTTTTCCCCTCTTATTTCAATTTAAATAAGAACATGTGTGTTCCAGTGCGTTTTGGTGTGTCCTGGTGCATTTTTGATGTGTTTTACTGTGCTCCAGTACAGTTCTGTGCAAGAAAAATGCAGCCTGCTCTACTTTTTTCTTCTGCAACCAGAACGCACTGGAACTGCAAGCACTGATGTGAACTATGACATTGACAACCATATAACCTACTTTCTGTACATTTTGGATGCAGAAAAAAAAAAGCACACTGAAATGCATGTAGTGTGAACTGGTCCTTAAGATGCCGAAGCCTGCACCCGGACACCAGCAAAGCGGTTAGCGATCTCCTTGTACATGTGCGCCTCCATTGTGTTTTGGGTGCATTTTGGTGTGTCCTGGTGTGTTTGTGATGTATTTTACCGCGTTCCAGTACAGTTAGGTGCAGGAAAAAATGGAACCTGTAATACTTTTTTTTCTGCAACCGGAAAGCACCGGAACTGCAAGCACTGATGTGAGCTATGACATTGACAACCATATAACCTACTTTCTGTGCGTTCTTGATCTGAACAAAAGCAACTGAAATGCATGTAGTGGTTAGCAATCTCCTCAGACAGGTGCGTTCCAGTGTGCATTTTGGTGTGTTCTGGTGCGTTTTTGATGCATTTCAGTACAGTTCTGTGCAGGAAAAATGCAGCCTGTTCTACTTTTTTCTACAACTGAAACTGCAAGTAATGATGTAAACTATGACATTGACAACCATATAACTTACTTTCTGTACATTTTGGATGGAGAAAAAAAAGCAACTGAAATGCAAGTAGTGGGAACTTTCCTCTAAGATGCTGCATCCTGTGCCCGAACACCAAAGAGATTAGTGATTCCCTTGGACATGTGTGGAGAAAGGGGTTAATTAGTTCCACTTTCATAATATGGGAACTGTCAGTATTTTATTGTGAATTTGGATCAGCGCAATGTAAAAGTGGCATATTTTCAAACTACCTGTATTAGGCGCAGGAATCGCTGATGGAATCAGAAGTGTAACAGATTCATGGTGAATATGGCGTCACACACTACCAGGAGGGATGGATGCCAGAAAAGTGACGTAACAGCTTTATTGAATTCCCTCCAAGGACATTTGCCCCCCATCCACATGCAAAGCCTGAAGGCACCCATTACTGGTGTGTATATAAACAGGGAGATGACAGGATCTGACAGAACACAAGAGATACATCACAAATACAGAGGTGAGGGCAGGACCAATGGCAGACATGTAGGATGTGAGGAGTAATAATGAGCTGTTACTGACCAGGCAGTCGTAGTGAGCCAGGATACTGTTGTCAGTGGTGTTGTGCAGCCCTCCCACGTCTCCTCCAGCCTTCTTCCCACAGAAAGCACACATCTGCTCCGAAGTCTTAGCCATGGTGAGAAGAACAGCAACAATGGCAACAACAGCTCACTGTCTTTTCTGGCGCCAACAGGAAGCTGTCTCCTTCCTTCCCGCCCCTTTTACTTTCAGTTTCGTTTCTGAAGTAGGCGATAGAACAACATCATCTCTGCGTGTTCATTCCCCTCAGGCTGTGGCCGGGTTGACTGCTTGCAAATATCATCTGCATGGCCAGATATGAACAGATGCTTCACAAACACTCCATTTTCCAAGGATCCTTTCACAATGTCACTTTTACAGGCAAACCTGATCAGAAGCTGCATGAAAATGGGCCGATGTAAACAAACATGCGTCCTTTTATGGCTGCTTATCTCCGAGGGTGTCCAAGTTAGGGTTGTCACCTCATAACCGTACACGTATTAACCCCTTGCCCTCTAGAGGATTCACCCCCCTTCCTGACCAGGCCATTTTTTTGCGTTATGGTGCTGCGCTACTTTGACAATTGTGCGGTCATGCAGCGCTGCACCCAAATGAAATTTACGTCCTTTTTTGCCCCACAAATTGAGCTTTCTTTTGGTGGTATTTTATCTATGATTTTTTTGCGCTAAAAAAAAGACCGACAATTTTGAGAAAAATATTTTTGACTTTTTGCTATTAAACGTCCGGTAAAATCTTTTAAATGTAGGTCAAAATGTATTCTGCTATATGCCGTTGCAAAAAAAAAAATCCCAGTACATTTAAATTAATTAGTTTACAAATGGCAGTACAGATACTGAGATTTTTTTTTTAAATTTTTGCTAGTAATGGTGCTGATCAGTGAATTGCTAGTATTGAGTTAGGGACCTTAGTATTGTACACCCCTTGAGGGTTAGGGAGTGATGTGAATGTACAATATATATATGTGTAAAGCGCTGCATAAATTGACAGCACTATATAAGTAACTGAAATAAATAAATGGCGCCGATCAGGACTGCAGCAGGCATTCTGACACTTGGGGAAACTGACTTGGTGTCACTGACATCCCCAGTGACACCAATGCAGTGATCAGTGCTAATAAAAAGCACTGACACTACTAATGGCACTGGGCAGGAAGGGGTTAACATGAGGGGCGATCAAAGGGTTAACTGTGTGCTGGGAGAGTTTTACTAGGGGGCAGTGTGCTGGTGCTTCACTGTACTCGCACTGCTTTAGATGGCTGTGCTTTTTTTTTTACTATGAGCTGTGTCTGTGTGCTTCACTGTAAGCACACTGCTTTGCATGGCTGTGACACTGAGGGATTGACAGCCATGGCCACGAATGGAGCACGGGTAGGGCATGCGAGTGCGTCCCCTACCAAGAAATGCAAAATCACGTGTATATATATATGTGATTTTTGTGCACCCCTGCCGCCCTGTAGCAGTACTTCTGCTATAGGGCAGACAGGAAGCAGTTAATTACACAGGTTATGAGGCCAATTTAATACACATAAAGTACTAAGGGCCAGTTCACACTATAGAAACGCAGTCCATATGCGTTCTGGACACGTTTTTGCATGCACGTTTTAGCGCATTTCGGTGCCTTTTTTATGCATTTCAGTTAGTTTTTTTCCCCCTCTCTTTTTCTTCAATTTAAATAGGGACATGTGCATTCCAGTGTATTTTTAGTGCATTGCAGTGCATTTTTGTATGCGTTTTACTGCATTCCAGTACAATTCTGTGCTGGAAAAATGCAGCCTGTTCTACTTTTTTTTTTCTGTAACTGGAACACTCAAACTGCAAGCACTGATGTGAATTATGACATTGACAACCATATAACCTACTTTCTGTGCATTTTGGATGCAGAAAACAACTAACGCGTGTAGTGTGAACTGGCCCTTAGTGAGTTTAATTATCACCTTAATCAGCCACAGAACCTGTGTAATTATGTGTTGGGGTTTTAAAGGGATGAGGTGGCAACCCTAACGTTTTCCTGAATGTAAATATGACAGATCAGCAAATATGTGCATGCCGGAAATTTGAATTTCGGATGCATTCATTCATTGATTAATTCCAAATTCAACATAACAAATATGATGAAATTAAATTCGTTCATTGTCATCAGCATTTGTTTTGTTTACTCTTCAGTCTGGGTAGATTCAAAGAATTTGCAGTTTTTGCTATATATTATTAAATTGGATGGATTTGAATCAGAAGAATTTGTTATTATTGGATGCTAGTCCAACCCAGCAAGTGAAATGGCATGAGCTGATTGGATAATATCAACTGGCATCATGTGCATCCAAATTACCGAATAGAATGAAATTCGGATCCATTCGTTATCTGAATCTCAATTTTCCTGACAGACTCCATGGCAGCATACGTATGGGTTGTTCCCGCCCTCTCTTATAGGGACCCCACTCCCATAAATCTTTGCTCCTCGCCAGAGGCTGTGTTCCTTTTTTGTCCTCTTCCTATGGACCTAGTGCAAGTCTTATCTGGTTCCCGCATTCAAGATGGTCTGCAACCAAGGCCTGGCGAGCCTCCCTGGGAGATGCGAGGTGACGTGCCGCTTGTCAGTTCCACGGGTCCCCAGCTAAAGGCGGGGTATTGAATGCGGTGCCGGGAATGGTGGAGCAGGCGTCCCTTCATCAATTCCAGCGTTCCCCAGCTAATAGCGGGGTGGAAATGGGTGAGCAGGAGTTAGTGCCTGGAACAGCTCAGGTCTGCCAATGACGTGGCTAACAGTGGGTGGCCATGTAGCACCCCGAACAGGTGAGGCGGTCTCCAAGGCAGGTGGTCTTGGCTATTTGGGGTTGGTAAGATGTGCTCTGTGCCCGTTTGGGTCTCATTGTTGCTCCTTATTTCTTTCCTCATCTTTCCCTGCTGCTAGTGGGTGTCTGGAGCACAATGCCGCCACTGTCTGGTCCGAGCGGCCTCTCGCACACTGCGCACATGCGACCTGGCCTCAGAATGTGGCTTGGCTTCGCATGTATGCAGTGTGGCAAAATGGCAGCATTCGGCGTATGCGCAGTACGGCGGCAGTGATATCATAGCTTTGGCGGAAAATTTAAACAGCTGTCAGAGCTGTTTTCTTTGGTAAATCCTGCGGCTGAGTGTGGCAGCTTCCCTAAGTGCTGTGGTACGCTGGGAAAGTCAGTGCCTGCTCCCTCCTACCTCCCCTGGTGGTCTGCTGGGATTCTACATGTCATGTTCTTTTTTTACAGCTTGGTTGCCTTTGCAGCTGACCTGGCATGGATGTGTCTCTCGTTCCTCCTCCAGGCATCACGTTAAGGGGCATTCCAGCCATTCCAGTAGGAAAACTTGCTGGTGGTGCGAATCTCAGATTCCTGACAGGAGGTCTTTATGTGACTTCTATTTTGTATGGACGACCGGCGAGAGCGAAAGTGCCAACCAACAGGTAGAGACTTTGGTCAGACGGGTTGTTCAAGAGTCCCTGAAGGAAATTGGGACTAGTTGAGCCCACAACCCATCAGTCGGGGTGTGCTTCCCTCCCAAAGAACTACAGAAGGGATGTGCCAAGACCAATGGCTGGGGGGAATAGGAGGCATAGCAGCCACCGTTCTTACGAACAGAAAACTAAATAACTAATTTTATTTCAGAGCAACTATTGAGTGAACCATAAGATGGAGCACATATTCAGCGAAGGTAGGAAATCAGCAATAAGGACATGTAAAGAAGTTATTGCCTGGAGTTCTGCTTTAAGGATCTTGAAGTTTGTAAACTTACATTTACGTCCTTGAATTCTGTGACCTGTAGGCATTGCTGTGTCACACGAAAGGTGGAGTTTCAAGAGGCGGAGTCAGTACAGGAATCACAGCTTGCAATAGCAAAGTGCCACGGGATATGTAATCCTTAAATGAACGTAAACCGCAGAGGAGAAGCTGCAAAGCATGTTGGGAATCCAGGAAGTTGTGGAAAGAGATGACCAACAGACAGGGAGAACTCACAACATGGAAGGAAATTTTTCAAGTAAATATATATTGGATTGTCAAAAATAGCTATTTGTATTGTTATTACAATGCTGATGTTTTAAAATGAAAGCGTGTGCTGTGACCATGGATCTCCTTTAAGAATCAGAGGCCTATGTCTGGGAGGTTAAGTGGAAGAAGATAAAATTTTGGTGGAACGCATACGCAGTGTTTCACTTTCAGCGTCACAATAGCCTCAGCAGCACGCTGTTCCAGTCCTCCTGGTTCTCTACACAAAACAGATACTCTAAGACCTCTTTCCCACTGATCTGTTTTTTCCCACACAGGAATGTGCCTTTCAAGTCCTGCATGCTGCATTTTTGGTGGAAGATGCGCCTTCCATTGAAGTCAATGGGAAATGTATCACAAATGCACCCAGGATTCATTTTTATGTGTTTTTTGGGGTCGTGTGGCAAAAATATGCTGGCTGTTAAGGAGCGGGCACCCCGGCATCCTTAACAACCAGCGAACAGCTGATTGTAAAAGAGCTGGCACATGTCGGCTTCCTTAACAGTCAGTGGGTATGTAAACAATGCCCCTCGTGGTCACCAGTAGTAAAGTTCAGTCTTCCATCTGGTGGATATCGGTTCCTTCATCCCCACCTCCTCCCCTCAGATTCTGGGAGTAGATTCTCCCTCCTGTTCTGCCCACTGTCTCTCCACCTCCTCCCCCCTAGCATTACTCCTGCATAAGAGGAGATGGAACATGCTGACCCTTGCAAGGGAAGCATCACTGGTTTTTAAAGATGCCGGAGGGTTCCGTCTCCCTAGCAACCAATGAATAGCCAGTGAGCCAGCACCTGACTGTCTTTTTTTTTTTTTTTTCCTTTTAGCTTTTGATGCGAGAAGGCAGTTAACAATGAAAATAGCCAAAACAAGCATACAGTTTGTCAGTAAAGTTTGAGAACCAGGTATCAGTGTGGCGTTGAAGGATGGACATGAAGAAACAAAGACGGATGGTGGTTGGTCTAACAACTAGCAGTTAAAGCATTAAATATATTTTAATTTTAATTGGAAGGTAGGATATCAATTGGAGAGTCATTGGTTAACAGTGTGGTTTGAAACCATTGTGTATATTGAAAACATTGTACTATCGATTGTTGGGTATCAGTAGGTAAGGTTTGAATGAAAGATTCCCAGATATTAAAGGATTTGTGAACCCGTGATTTTTTTTATGTAAGGTCTCCACCCATTCATGTAGAAAATATAAGCAAGTTTGTAACAAAAAAATGGTGGGGGATTCTGGGTAGATCCGCATATGTAAAATGGTTTTTCGTGCTCCAAGGGATATGACAATTAGGACTTGTTTATATCCTCTATAGATTTTAACACCTGGAATGCTGATTAGGCCAAAGAGTGACCATTCAGAGGTTAGAGGTAAGTAGTTTACTAAGTGTGTGATGGTATAATGCACAACTGTGTTTGAAAATCTGCAGTATTAACTTGTTGCCGACCGTAGATAGCCGAATGACGGCTGCACTGCGGCCGGCCAGTTCTGAGTGGACGTCATATGACGCTCCCCCAGAACGCGCTCTCCTGCGCGCCCCAGGGGGCGCGCACCCGGCGATCTCCGTGATCGCTGTGTCCTACGGACACAGCTGATCACGTGATGTGGTAAAAGGCCAATCACAGCGGCCTTTTACCACCTGATCAGCGGTGTCCAATGACACGCTGATCAGAGGGAAATGCAAGTGCCGGTTCTCGGCTGCACTTTCCTCACGCTGTCAGATCGTGAGGAAAGTACTGCCGAGAACCGGCAGTTGTCAGAGCGGGGATCGGCACCGATCATCAGGGCACTGATGATCAGTGCCCTGATGATCGGTGCCCAGCAATGCCACCCGCAAGTTCCGCCCACCTGTGCCCAGCAGTGCGCCCACTAGCTCCGCCCACCTGTGCCCAACAGATCACCCACCTGTGCCCAGCAGTGCACCCACCTGTGCCCAGCAATGCACCCACCTGTGCCACTCTGCAATGTCACACACCTGTGCCCAGAAGTGCCACCTACCTGTGCCCACCCACCTGTGCCCACCCAGCAGTGCTGCCAGTCAGTGCCACCAGTCAGTGCCCAGCAGTGATGCCAGTCAGTGCCGTCTATCAGTACCCATCATCAGTGTCACCTATCAGTGCCGCCTATCAGTGCTGCACATTAGTGCCGCCTATCCGTGACACCTCATTAGTGCTGTCTATCAGTGACGCCTATCCATGCCACCTCATTAGTGCTGCCTATCAGTGCCCATCAGTGCCGCCTATCAGTGCTGCCTCATCAACACACATCAGTGAAGGAGAAAAATTACCTGTTTGAAAAATTTTATAATAGAAACAAAGAAACTTTTTTTTTTTCAAATTTTTGGCAATTTTTTATTTATAGCGCAAAAAGTAAAGCGCCCAGTGGCAATTAAATACCACCAAAAGAAAGCTCTATTTGTGAGAAAAAAAAATGATCACAATTTCATATGGTTACAATGTTGCATGACCGCGCAATTGTCAATCAAAGTGTGGCAGCGCTGAAAGCTGAAAATTGGCCTGGTAAATAAGGGGGTATAAGTGCCTGGTAGGCAAGTGGTTAAGGAAGCTGCGCTGCAGTGTGTAAGCACCCTAAAGTGGACCTAAATTCAAAATGTGAAGATGTGCTATGGAATAGGGAACATCTAGAAGGTTAAACCTAACAAGTAGCCTAAAAAATAAATCTACATTTTTTTTTTCCCCCTGTGCCTCCCCATGTCATAACGGATTGGTCTGGCTCCACCCTCTTGACCCTTAGACAACCCTCCAGTCGTAGCAATGAAAGACTTCCTCATACCACAACATGGGTCCCTTTTTTCTGTCCTCTGCAAAGATTTTGGACACTGCAAAATGTTGATTCTCAGGCTCCCATTCCGCCCGGGTTCAACCTCTCTCCTGCTGAGGGGGCTGATGTTATTCCTAAATTAAGATAATCCTTCCAACCCGTGTTGCAGGATGTTTAAAATGGTGATAGGCTGGTAAAATTATGCTGCCTTTCTTATTAGGCCGTGTAGACATTTCATTTTTTTTTTTTAGCCTTCTTTCCTGCGTAACCTTCATCTCATTTTTCTTTCTCAGCAACCTCTGATGTAGGAGGCTGCCAAGATATCCAGGTGTGGAGTGTGAAATGGGTTGCCAACATTTTCTCGTAGCCCAGATCCCTGCATATATGCCAGGACCTTTTTCTCCCATTAGTGTTGTTCTTGCTTTGGTATGGGAGGCAGAGAGGGGCTTAAACGCTAAGTTCACCTTTTGGAATATGTTACATGTTCTGCCTATATTTAGGGTAGAACATGTATTATGTTCCAGCTCCTGCCTCTGATCCCCTGCTTAATGTGACAGCGGGCAGGGGATCTTCTCACTACATCCACTCACTTTTTGAAAAGAGCGTGGCTGTGTGAATGAACAAACTACAAGTACAGCCAGACATTGTGGCTGATGGCTTCTAGTTCTAAATGAAATGCAAGGGCGCTGAAGAGTGCTCTCATAGTTCAATCGCAAGCCCTGCAGCTTTCAAAGAGTCAATCCGCATGGAGGTACAGGCAGAAAGCTGCAGGGCTTGTTTGTGGAAGCCTGATATTGTACCCCTGATCTACTAATCATGGGCACAATGCTTTTCAGGCTCCTGCAGGAAGAAATAAGAAATGTACATTTTTATCTGCATAAACATGTGCATTTAATATTTTTTCTGGAAAGGTGAACTTATCCTTTAAGGTGGCTATAGATGGATTAAAATTTGGTCAGCTAAACAGGGACAGGCTGAATTTCAATCCATCTAGGGATATTCCCATTCGTGAGAAGTCAATCTAATGACTGGCTCCTCTCGAACAAGAATGTTAGAATATTCTGCTTCAATCAGTGCTACAGCCAATTCGCTTTCATAATGATTAGTGTATTCTGACAGCAGAGGAGTCCCTGCTGTCAGAACACAATAGGGTTGCTCATATATGGTTGTTGTTTTGTCCAGCCAGTTGGATGAACAAAAATTAACTGAACAGATTCTACGTGTGGATGGGGGACTCCTCCCCACTGTGTCATTGTATTCTGACAGTAGGGAGACTCCCCCATCGACAGAATACTTAGATCAGAGCTGCAGCCCATTCCCTGCAATGCTGAAGTAACTGATATTTTCCAGCAGTACCGTTTGCAAATAGTCAGTCAATATATTGACTTCTCATGAACGGAAACTGCCATACATGGATCCAAGTATGGCCAGCTTGACGCAGCAGAGAGGATTCCTCTATCTACCTCACTTGCATGGATTGGGGGGGAACTGACCCATGTATGCTTAACTTTACAAATTATGCCTCAGCATAGGATTGACCCCTAGTTCACATTAGTGCGGCCCACGTTTGTGCGGGCAAGGCAACCCATTCATTTGAATTGGCTGCTGTGCCCAAGTTTCACACAGGGAAATAGTGCACCTTTTTCAAAACACATCCGCATGGGCTTTTTTGACCATTCGGTTTCTGTTCGGTTCCCACACCCGCGAACACACTGCAGGATGAGATGCATGGGGCTGCCATTCAGAATTAATGGCACCCTCCGGTCTCGCAAGAGAAATGCAATGCAGCTGCGTGTATCGCATAGATTCTCGCACCCGCACCCAGCCCGCAGTGTGTGGGCTAGTGTGAACCTAGCCTTAATGTGGAACTTCTATGACAATCAGAAGGTCTGGGTTTTTCTAGCCTCTCCCCCCAATTACAAATTACCTTCAAAAACCATTTGACAACCGATTGTGAAAAAAAAAACGCTAGCCTCAGCCTGCAGCACTCGGGAGGCACAGGTGATATCAACATGCTTTACCATGGTCACCAGGGAGAGCTGGATGCTCAATCTTGGCTTTCTCATGAGGACTTCAGGACTGACTTTACTGATCTGTATACATTTTCCAGGTCAGTGACTCAAAGCATAATCAAGTCAGGATAAGAGCCAGAAAATTACATTTTCAGAAGGTCAGCATTGACAGAGCCCAAGCTCAAGGGCCTTCTATTAAGAGAAATAAAACTTTTCCCAATCATTTTTTTTTTTTTAAATTAACAACTTTTAAAATCAGTCAAATATTTGGCTTTTATTAGTTTCTTACATATATATTTTACACATCAGTGTACACCATCAAACAGTTCAAACTTATAAAACCACAATGTTAATAGCCCTTACAAATGTAACAAATTCAAAAATATAATTGCACAATACAGTATAAAAACAACAAACTAAAAACTAAAATATAAGATAAAATTTATTCCAAGGGCCTATGACAGAAATAAAGTTACTTGTGCAAAATATTTTTGGTCCTATGACACCAATCTAATCACCCTGATTGGTAGAAAGTTACCATGTGCATTGTACTCTGCACAGACCAATGTTCCTGCTTCACTTGGCATTTTCTGATAATAGTGCCCTTCAATACAGCACTGCTGCATGTGAAAACTCCCATTGTACTCAGTCATTCAGAAACAATATATCTATGTAGGGTTTTTCAGAATGGGAAAAGCTGTCCATCCTATTACAGAGGAAATTTTTCCCTCAAAAATAAAATGTTTATGCGAGACAGACACAGAATATTCTCCATTCCCCTTTATAACATGTTGCAATTAATTAATGTAAGCCAAATGTCAGTAAGATGTTAATACCATGCTACTAAGCAACTAAAAACTTTTAGTGCAGCTAAGCTCCTAAAACACAATAACCCTTAGCAACGAACCAGATTTCAGTTAGCTCAAGTTTAGAGAAGACTGAGCAATAGAGAAGGTATTGTAATTGGCTCCTATTTAATGGATCTAACAGAGAACCATTATATGAAATAGGACTTCATGTAAGCTTTCACAAAATGCATTCTCATTGAGTTTCTTGGTCCTGGTAAAAATGTTATTTTTGTAAGGAGAGTATCACCTTTTATCATATCCTCTAGGCAGTTATGTCAAAGTATATAATGTTCTATATCTGTGGCAGCCATCTATCGGTGTATGTCTCATACATTTCTTATGGCTATGGCTCTGGAGGAACAGCTTGTCCACTAAGTCTGGGGGAAGACAGATTTGTATATTGTGATACACAACCAGGGTTTGATGTAGACATTGTCTACTGATCCAAATCCGTAAGAAGACCTTTAGAATAGATATTTGAGTGGCCACCTTTTTATCTTGCGGAACTTTCCTCAGAAACTGGAGTAGGTTTCTGGCGAAATCGGCATCTCCATCTTCGGTCTGCTGCTGCAATTGGCACTGTAAATTTTGCAGTTGAATATTCAGGACTTGCAAACTTGTTTTCATGGTCTTTAGCTGAATTTCTTCTGAAGTCCTATGTCTCCAAGAGGGGTTCTCAGGCAGAACTAGATCACTTCTGCTGCTTGCTGAAGGTGAAAAATCGAGATGCTGCAGCCAATTCTGTTTCCATTCTGTCTATGTCTATACCTACAGTGCTTTGCTCTTTTCTGCTGCTCTCTGAAGAGGATTCACGCGATTCACCTTGTACATCATCATGTTGTTCACCTCCAGAGATTTTCTCTGTCCTGTTGCTCTCTAAAGAGGATTCACATTGTATACCATTATGGTCTTTACCTTCAGAGCTTTCCTTTACTTTTCTGTTTACTGACAATGAAAATGTTTTGGAACATTCAGTTTCCACTTTATTACGGTCTTCCTCTGTGGTGCATTGCCCTACTTTGTTGCTCGTATGGGATGGTTCAGGTGATTCAGGTTTCATCCCATCAGGGTCTTTATCTCTGGTGATTTCCTCTTGGTCTTTTACTTCTGTAGAAAAACCAACACTTTCTGAATCACTTTCACTGTAGGTTTCTCTGCTACTAGTCCTGGAATTGATCTTTGCCTGGTCATCTGTGAATGAAATATGCTATAACATAAATTGCTGTTTTTATTAGACTTTTTATCCACAGTACAATGACCAAAACCTTTGCCATGTAACCTCTGTAATTCTGCGCTGTGCAGTTCAGAGAACAATTTTAACTGGATGCATGTAACACCTACTACACCACACTGAGTGTTTCTTATTCTACTGATAGTCTTGCCTTTTGTCCCTAAGGAACACAGAACACCTTCTTTGCTATGGCTTTGCACCTTCTGAGAGAGCCAGCACCTATACAAGGTGCTGAGGCTAAGAAATTGGTCACTGAAGACCACAGAAGTAATGCATATTGGTGCCATCTCATAAGAACAATACGTTAAATTATATGTATGTTTGTGAGTTTTAATATGTGTGTTGCTAGAAATATTTTTTCTTTTAAAATGCTTGTAAACCTTGTTTTTTTTTTTTTTTTCTTATTTAAAATACTTACCTACTCTGTACAATGGTATTGCACAGAGCGGGCACGGTCCTCCTCTCCTTGGGTCCCCTGCCAGCGCTCTAGGCTCTTCACTTCTTTTCCATGTGCTACCATAGGAATCAATTTCCTATGCAGGCACATGTGTGGGCATGCTCCTGAGCTCTGCTCTGCATGTCCATTAAGATAATCCAAAGATATGGTACGCTACTCAAACAACCACCAAAATTCACCTGTAAAAATAAATATGAAGTACTCCCAATAAATTACAAAGTGCAATTGTGCAAAAAATTAAAAAACGGGACAGAAAAAACAGTGTTATAGGGAACAAATGATGTGTTTGCAAACCAAAGTCCATATAATAAAGTGCTTGATAAATGAGTCCAAATAACTACTGTGACGGAAATCAATCAACATACAAAAGTGTCAAATGTGTATCCTTCACCACGCACACACACTATATTGCCAAAAGTATTGGGACGCCTGCCTTTACACACACATGAACTTTAATGGCATCCCAGTCTTAGTCCGTAGGGTTCAATACAGAGTTGGCCCACCCTTTGCAGCTATAACAGCTTCAATTCTTCTGGGAAGGCTGTCCACAAAGTGTAGGAGAGTGTCTATGGCAGGGGTCTGCAACCTTTAGGACATAAAGAGCCACTTGGACCCATTTCCGAGAGGGAAAAAAAGACTGGGAGCCGCAAAACCATTGCAACATTTAAAACAAATCCGACACTGCATATATTTCAAAAAACGCTCTGGTCATGAAGGGGGTTTAAGGGCCCAGTAAGCAAAGGGTTAATCAGGGCCACAGTGTATCGTCATAATCACAATCATAGCCTTAGGTCAGTGGTGGGCAACCTTTTTTTTCGACTGAGCCAAATCTCGCCAAAACCACGATTGAAATTTATTTTGAGAGAAACATTTTTAAAACTGAAAATACATCCCCCATATAGTAATTCATCCCCCATATAGTAATTCATCCCCCATAGTAATTCATCCCCCATAGTAATTCATCCCCCATATAGTAATTCATCCCCCATATAGTAATTCATCCCTCATATAGTAATTCATCCCCCATAGTAATTCATCCCCCATATAGGAATTCATCCCCCCTATAGGAATTCATCCCCCCTATAGTAATTCATCCCCCCTATAGTAATTAATTCATCCCCCTATAGTAATTCATCCCCCCTATAGTAATTCATCCCCCGTAGTAATTCATCCCCCCTATAGTAATTCATTCCCCATATTGTGTGAATTCACTTACCTTTGCTCCGCGCGTTCCTCTTGCTGGGTTTCCGCGCCGTTCTGGTCTTCAGGGCGGACTGTGAGAGGAGAGGAGTTCGTCACGCTGCCCCGCCTACATCCGGGCTGCCCCGCCTACATCCTGACAGCCAATGTTTGCCAGCGGGCGCCCGGCACACAGAAGATCTACATTAAAAGAGCCGCGGCTTGCCGACCCTATTGCCTGTCACCTGGTGGGCAGTGTGCTCCGGAGCCGCAGGAAAGGTGAAAAAGAGCCGCATGCGGCTCCGGAGCCGCGGGTTGCCGACACCCGGTCTATGGGAATGTTTAACCATTCTCCCAGAGGCGCATTTGCGAGGTTAGGAGTTTATGTCGGATGAGAAGGCCTGGCTCGAAGTCTCTGCTCTAATTCATCCCCAAGGTGTTCTATCGGGTTGAGGTCAGGATTCTGTGCAGGCCAGTCAAGTTCCTTCACCCCAAACTCCCTCATCCATGTCTATATGGACCTTGCTTTGAGCACTGGTGCGCAGTCATGTTGGAACAGGAAGGGGCCACGCCCAAACTGTTCCACAAAGTTGGGAGCATGAAATTATCCAAAATGTCTTGGTATGTTGACGCCTTAGTTTCTTCACTCAACTAAAGGGCCAAACCCAACCCCTGAAAAGCAACCCCACACCATAATACCCCATCCACCAAATGTCATACTTGGCACAATGTAGTCAGGCAAGTACTGTTCTACTGGCAACCACCAAACCCAGACACATCCGTCAGATTACCAGACAGAGAAGCATGATTCATCCCCTCCAGAGACTACGTCTCCACTGCTCTAGAGTCCAGTGGTGGTGTGCTTTACACCACTGCATCCGACACTCTGCATTGCATTTGGCGATGTAAGGCTTGGATGCAGCTGCTCAGCCAAGAAGAAGACCCATTCCATGAAGCTCTCTACACACTGTTGTGCCAATCTGAAGGCCGTAAGAAGTTTGGAGGTCTTTAGCTATTGACTCTGCAGACAGTTGGCAATATCTGCACACGCATGTGCTGACCCCACTCTATCATTTTACGTGGCCTACCCCTTTGTGGTTGAGTTGCTGTTGTTCCCAGTTGCTTCCACTTTGTTATAATACCACTAACAGTTGACCGTAGAATATTTAGTAGCAAGGAAATTTCACGGATGGACTTCTTGCACAGGTGGCAACCTCATGGTACCACGCTTGAGTTCACTGAGCTCCTGAGAGCGACCCCTTCTTTCACAAATGTTTGTAGAAGCAGTCTGCATGCCTAGGTGCTTGATTTTATACACTTGTGCCATGGAGGCGATTGGAACACCTGAATCCAATGATTTGGAGGAGTGTCCAAATACTTTTGGTAATATAGTGCATCTAGCCTGTTACCAAATGGTTTGATCTCAGATTAAGTCCTCATGCAAACTGCTAAATATAGCAGGACCCCAAAAAATTCTTCAAATATATTAAAAGTAAAAAGGTCCGGTCTGAGCATGTAGGCCCTTTACAAAATAATCTAGTGTGGGTGACTGGGGACAAAAAGAAGGCAAATTTATTTAATACCTTCTTCAGCTCTGTGTATACAAAAGAGCATGGGGGAGCTCTTGTCCATAATGGGCATGGTATTGACACAGCTCCAGATCTAAATTGCCTCACAATTGATATGATCCAGAAATATTTAGACAGAATAAAGGTGAATAAAGCACCTGGACTGGATGGCATACACCCACGGGTCCTTAACCTCCCTGGCGGTATGATTATGTCAGGAATTTTGTACCAAAAGCGGTACCATTTTTTTTGCATGGAAATATGTATTTTATTTATTGTAGGCCTGTAATTTAGGAATAACTCCCTGAAATCTGTCCGAACAAGAGTCTAGTAAACATTCCGGATATGATAAAACTTGAAACACGAAATCATAAATTATAATTTAATAAATACTCATAAAAAATAATATAATAATAAATTTAATTCAATAATATAATCAAACCAAAAACACTGAAATTTGAAATACAGCGCCAAGTTCGGACATCACTGAGCAAAATTGCAAAATCGTTTTCAGTGTCTGATGACGAATTTCCCCCATGAATCATTATCACTCAATTCTGCAAGTGGTTCTAATTTACTATCGCTGTTCTCTAGCCGGTCTAAAACTGATTTTGACCTAAAGGGATGCTTTTTGGACGCCGTGAACTTTCTACGTTTCCAGGCAGAAAGAACAGTCAAAATGCAGGCAGGGCACAGGAAAAAGCAGTAGGGACAAAATGTATGTGAAATGCTTTGATACAGGAATGTTTTGCTATGAAATAATCGTTTTAAAAAAAATGTAATTTTTTTTAAATTTTCAAATTTGCCGCCAGTTCCGGCGCCTGTATGTCCTGACGTCACAGGGACCGGAACATGGAAGCCAGATGCTGGCATCGGCCGGAGGAGATGGCTGAGGACACTGCAGGGGACACATCGTGGGAGCGAAGGACAAGGTAAGCGCTGTAGGCAATCCCTGTGCAACGCCGCATGGTAAGCCCGAGTGTAGCTCGGGGTTACCGCTTTTGGTACTGAAACATTACCCCAAGCTACACTCGGGAATACCGCCAGGGAGGTTAAAGAATTGAGCTCTGTCATTTCAAAGTCAATGTTCCTAATTTTTAGGGACTCTTTAATGACTGGCATAGTACCACTGGATTGGCGTAAGGCCAATGTGGTGTCAATATTTAAAAAGGGGTCAAAATCTTTACCAAGTAATTAGAGACCTGTTAGTTTAGCTTCTGTAGTTGGGAAGATACTGGAGAGTTTAATAAAAGACCACATAGATGAGTTCTTGCTGGAAAAAAAAAGCAACAGACAGCATGGATTCATGAAAGACGTGGTATACTTGGATTTTGCAGAGTAGTGATTAACGATTCATACTCTGAATGGTCTAGGGTTGTCAGTGGTGTACCCCAAGGTTCAGTGTTGGGACCCTTACTTTTTAATATATTTATAAACAATATATGGTCTGGAATTAAAAATCCCATTTCAGTCTTTGCAGATGACACCAAGCTTTCCAGTGCAATAACATCCTTACAGGAAGTCTCCAATTTACAAGCCAACCTCAATGCACTGTTTAATTGGGCAACTATGTGGCAAATGAGGTTTCATGTTGAGAAATGTAAGGTTCTGCACTTGAAGGCTAAGAATATGCATGCATCATACATACTGGGGGGGGGTACAACTGGGGGAATCAATGGTGGAGAAGGATCTGGGGGTTCTGGTAGGTCACAAGCTTAATAATGGCATGCAATGCCAAGCTGCGGTTTCTAAAGCG